TACCGAGTTGCCTGTACCAGAATTTAAATGCTAGAAGCACTACACGTTTGACACAGACACTTTTGAGTTTGTTTATTTGTTCCCTGTTCCATTACTTATTCAATTCGACAAATTTTGTGATTGGAGTGCAGGCGGGAATAATGACCATTAAGCCCTCATCATTATTCCCTGAGGAAATAATATATGGCATTATTCTGCCAAAATCACAAATATATAATACTTGCATTATACATTAGTCGTAAATAAATATTATTATTAAAAGTACCTACTAGATCTTAGCACGAGGTGTGGTTTGACAACACAGCAAGCGCTAAAATCTTACTTTTTTTCCATCTATAATACACTTTTTTTTTTGTGACGGGAAAATCTCACTTTTTTCCTTTTTTACACTATTTTTTTTCTGTGTCCGTACTTGCTACTTTTTTTTTATGTGAAAAAAATTTGACTGGTATGAGTGGTATGTAAGGGTGGCCCAGCCAGCAGAGATATCAAAAATCTGGGAGCACATTCTCGAGCTCTTTTTTTGAGAAAATAACAATGGCGAAGACAAATCACGGCTAACTTGATGCGTTTAGGAAATACAGGGCACTTTTCAAATTTTGTCCAATTTTAAAAGACTCTCTAATTTCCTTATTATCCAAGATATCCAAAAACGAAAAATACTTTCTAGGGGCAGTTTTTTAAGGAAAATCCAGTGGCATAGCCAATTTTTCTTCAGATGCCTCCGATTTTGGAATATTGATCAACGTTGTGTTTTTTTAAATAGGACACCCTGTATATTATTTTTTCATTAAATAGCTCTTTGTGAGCTGATTTCAATGAGATAAGGTTTTATACATTTACCTTCTATAGTTTTGGAGAAAAAAAAATTAATTCCGTTTTTCCCTAAGAAACAATGAGCTAGAGAGAGATAAGTCATTAAATAAACTATGTGTTGCCTATTTATCACCCCCAGAGCTGGGCAGTATTTGCAATTCTAAATACTTTTCAGTATTTAAATACTTTAAAGTATTTAAATACCTAGTATTTAAATACTTTTCTAGAACTGGTATTTGTATTTATGAATCCAAATACTTTTTGAAATATTTGGTATTTAAATACTTTGAAGTGTTTTAAATACTTTCAAAAGTAGTTAAATACTTTCAAGTATTTAACTACTATCAAAATTATTTAAATACTTTCGAAAGTATTTAAATACTTTTTCTTCTGCAAAAAATATACAGATGAACAAGATTCAACTCAAATTATCAGTTCCTAGACTAGACACGTGCGCGATTTTGCGAAATTTGGCGGTGATCTGTCATTTTTGCGATGTATTATTTTTCCTTCAATACACATGAAGCGAATAATCGCAAACACTGTTTTTACTCTATAATCCTTGCGTTCGGTATTTAGCTCAAAGAGCAGAGCGTGCTGAGCGGAGCCGTAATCACGTGACCAGCGAGCGAACAGAGCAGTTGAACGCTATTTAAAAGTGTCAGAAATTTTAATAAACGAACGCGAATGAGCCTGCACCGAGTACACTTTTTGAATAAACAAACGGTAAAGTCAAGCTCGGAGAACACAGACCTAAATAACGAACGCACGGAATAGCGCAGAAACAACTATTGAGGGATCCATCGACACTATACTCATACTATACTTATACTACTTACGTATCAGTTATCACTTTACCAAAAACAAAACGAACAAAACAATAAACAATCATAACATAACCCTTATTTTATCATTTTGTGGCGACTTGCGATAGAATATTCAAAGTTGAGTTTAGTCGCTGCGATTATTTTTGACAGTTCAAAATGATAGATCACCGCGAAATTTCGCAAAATCGCGCTCGTCTGAAAGCACCTTTAGGCTTTACCTGTGCTTACTACTGTTTGTTCTTTTTATACTCTTCTTTTGATCAGTTGATTTGTTTCTTTGAACTGTTATTTTATTTATTTTTCAAGAAGATAATGTTTATTTTTGTTGTATTTATATTAATCAAATAAATAATTTTTTGTTCAATTTGATTATTTTCAATATTTGCCTACTCTGTTTTCACGTCGGTCGGTCATATTTATTGTTTGGCAAGGAATGGTAAGTAAGCAAGTAAGTTAATTACTTATTAGAACGGGTAAAATTAGCCATGTTCCAAATTCGGAAATTTTTGATGTATTTGCCACTGCCAGTTTTCCACTTTTGTCAGAGTATTTCAGCTATCAGAATTTATAGAACATTTCGTTACTAGTGCGAATAGCGACTAGTCTATTCGCACGAGTGACGACCGATATTTTTCATAACGAAGTCTTGATTTGATTTGGACAGTGCAAAAAACGGCCTCCAGTAGTCAAATCAATCGTACTTTATCGTATCGGTATAATAACACTGTTGTGACAGAGTTATTCTTGGTTCAATGTTTCTAGGTTGATTAGTAGGAATTTATTGTTTTCGCTAGACCTTGGCAATTATCTTGTGTTTAATGGTGGGAATGAATCTATGGCCTTCAACACTTCGTTATGAAAAATATCGTTCGTCACTCGTGCGAATGGACGCCTTTCTTTTTTAAACTACGACTCATCTGCCCGTCTATTCGCACTAGTGACGAAATGTACTATTTGAAGTTTTTGAATAAGGTATTTGCCTAATAAAAGTATTTAAATACCTTTTAAAGTATTTAAATACTTTTTAAAGTATTTAAATACTTTTTAAAGTATTTAAATACTTTTTAAAGTACTTAAATACTTAAAAAGTATTTAAATACTTAAATAAGTATTTAAATACTTTTTGTATTTAGTATTTATTTCTTTTCAAGTCAAATAGTATTTAGTATTTAAATACTTTTTGAAAGTATTTTGTCCAGCTCTGATCACCCCCGATTTATAGTTCAAATTCAAAAGAAAATAGCTGAAGGTAAAGGTATAAAACCTTATATCAACGAAATCAGCTCACAAAGAGCTATTCAATGAAAAAATAATATATGGGGTGTCCCATTTAAAAAAACACAACTTTGGTCAATATTCCAAAATCGGAGGCATCTGGAGAAAAATTGATCATACCACTAAATTCTTGAAAAACTGCCCATAGAATAGTTATTATTCCTAACAAGTGTGCAAAGTGTTACTTTTCCGCACGCAAACACAGTTATACGAACGACGCGAACCAATAATATGATAAAAAAGGTTCTAGAAAAGTTTGAAATGGTCAATTGTAAACCCCATGAAATAATTGCAACAGTTTTCCTCATAAGAGAACTTATCGGGTCACTTATGTATATCATGCTAGGTTCAAAACCCGATATGAGTTTTTGTATGACTTATTTTTTTCACAATTTCAGAATTGTTTCACAAAGGAACATCGAAATCATTTGAAGCTGGTATTAAGATATTTGACGACTTGCACAGATATTCAATGCTCATTAAAGGCTCCGCGAATGTCAGGCAAAATTACCTTTTTTTTTTTTGTGAAAATGCGAAAAGTCGTGTTGCGTGGGTGAGGTCGGCCAGGCATAGCGGAAAAATTTCTTAGACAGTGAACTTAGTGTCTTATTGAAGGCTAATTTAGATGCTGTAATGAGAAAGTTTGGGTTAGTTTGCAATGTTAATCAGATATTTCCAAACTTATCAATAATAACCCGGTTAGTTTGGGTACTTTTCAATTTAAATCAGACTTTCCCAAACTTACTAAATCAAAAAAGTGATTGAGTCTGAAATTTGCGATTGGTGTATTTCCGAAGCCTTTAATGTGTCTGCAAATGAAATTGGAATTTTTGTTATTTTAGTCACATTTTCAGTCATGTTACTTATATTCTTCTGGCCTGGCTTAAGTTAAAGCTAGCAGATCAGCCATTTTTGCGAAAATTGGCGTAGCCTCAAATTTTTCCTTAGAGCATTTAATTAGCCTTCAATGTTGCATGTATTGATTTTCGATTCCGCTGAATTTGCCCTTCCAGCTTAAAAGACGTACTGCAGCCACCTCTTGATCATTCAAGCTCAAGCTGAGGTATAGTTTTTCCAAGATGGCATCATTTGTTCCCCTAAAACCTTGAAAACCAAATTGATTCCAATTAAGGACATTATGTCTCTTCAAAAAATCCACTAGTTGTTTCTTAACAATTTTCTCCATGATCTCTGAAAGAGTACTCAGTAGTGAGATAGGTCAATAAGTCGATGAATCTGAAAAGTCCTCTCCCCCCCTTTGAAGATTGGGATTATCACCACCGCTAACTTCAGACAAGGAGGAAATTGTTGAGCACCCAAAGACAAATCAATACAATAGGCTAGTTAGTACCTCTAGAGCACTGTCTGGTAAGTTTTTCATGATTTTTGCAGAAATATTATCACTTCCTTGCAAATTTTCCTGATTTCATGCTTGTTTATTGTTTTGAAACTGAAATTTTCTGTTTAAGATAATGGTTGTAGCGAGTGTTAGAATTTAGATCATCTGACAGCTTTCCTGCAATTGTTGTGTAGAAAGTATTGAGTTTGTCAGGCTCAACAAAACTTTTGTTGGATTTTTCTTTTTTTCCTCTAAATTCGTTAATCAAGTCTCAGTATTCTCTGCTTTTGTTTTCTACCTTGTTGATTCGTCTCCCAATAATTTTTTTTTTTGCTTTAATAATAACCTGTCTATATAATGGTTCGGTACTTGTTGAAGTACTACATGAAAGCCTGACAGTGAACTTTCTCAGAGTATTGCATACACCTTAAGTTTTCTGAAGAAACCTTAATACCTTTGGAAACTCATTTTTTTTTTGTTTGCTTTGGCTGCCATTTTTCGCGAAGAAACACTCTTATAAAGAATTATGGTTACACATATCTAAAAACTTTGTATAAGCTTCTATGTATTCAAACACTGGAATCTGGATTCAGTTTACATGGTTTGCCAAACTCCTGAACTAAAGATATGAAAGTTTCCTAAAGATAAAATTGAGGGAAAAAATCCTTCTACTTGCTCACCCAGATAAAAAAACAAAGTCGAAAGACTTTGAAGTTAGTAACATAAATAGCGTATTATCTTACCTTGAAACCTAATAGAGGAGGCCTGGAACAACTCGTCACAAACTTGAGCAATTGTCTTTTTTGAATATCAGTAAATCCAAACAGAATTTTCCAGAATAGTAATATTGTGGGATGTTCTGCATTGAAATCGCCTGAAAGAGCGAAAAGCATATCAAAGTGGAGTGAATAAACAATATATTTTTTTACTTAATCTAGGAAAGTGGTTCATTCATTTGACTAATTTTTCTCACATATTTTTTCTTTCGAATGATAATCTAGTAGAAGCTTGCTCAAAACGTTCTCGAACTCTGAGATTCTTGATACCAATGCAATAAAGGTCCAGTTTTCTTTTACTGGGTTTCGCATACAATTTTATACAAAAACAACCTTTTAAAATCCTTGAAAGTAGCATTATCACATTAAAAATACCTTCAAAGTGGCCAATTTTACATTTTTTGCTAGTGCCATGACACAAAACACTCAGTTTTTGACAATATTTTTCCACCTGGCCTAGATTCGCATAAGAAAGAAAAAGTTGGAATTTTAAATGATGTAAAAAAACATATTTCAACAATTCGAACGTAGATAAATTTTCACCTGAATAAACAATATGAGCTCGCAAATCGCTGAGATCAATCTCTTGCGTATCGCCCCCAATAATCACTTGCAGCTCCTTGTGGTTGAACAGTTTCAGCCACAAAAGTGGCACTACACTATTTAACCCATCCCTAAAAGCCACACACTGTTTCTTCAGTTGGGCATTTAACTTCAAATCTGCCAGTCTTTGAATGTACTCCAATCTGTTATCGTTCGTCACTGGAATGTTTCTGCCGTCTGGTTTCAGTTCCATGACCTAGAAATTGGTTGAAATTGTAAAGTTTATTATACTCAATTAAGACTTTTACCCTAGTCTCTCCTAAATCGTTATTGACAATGGTAAAATCAAGCCCCAAATCGCTAACGTCGCCGTTATAGTCTCTCAGATAGAGCAGGTTTCTGTAAAGCACAGGATCTAGAGATTTTAAGTAGCAAGCGCTAGCTCTGTCGACTAGCAACTTAGCCAAGAAAAATTCTGCCAAAGGAAGATCTACTAATATGTTTTCAAATATTGCCTAAAACATATTTAACTAGTTTATAATTCGAAAAATCCAGTACAATATCAACTACCTACCTTTCCAACTAATCGTCCAATAAACTTGTAATGTTCAGGGAAATTTTCAACAATCAAATGAACATTGGGATTGGGGTACAGTGTGTTGTCAGCAGTCATACAAAAAAAGCCTCTGTTCGGATCAAAGGCTGTTTTTAAGACTTCATTGAGGAATTCTTTGAAAATACCTCCACCGTCAATACCTGCTTCTTCTAGGCCCACATTGTTGATGAATTGGATTCTGACGCGGTGTTTCAAATAAGATTCTAGAAACAATAATTCAGCTGTTATTTTATGTCTTGCGTTAACTAGCTAGCAAAGTACAAAACAATACAAAAAGTATCCAAAAAACAATAAGAGCGTATTAAATATGGTAGCTTACCATCTTTACTAGATATTCTCTCGAACGCGTCTTCGTACAGATAATTTCGTCGTATTTGCACAGTACTATAGTGCACCAATTCAGGATGCATCCTGTGATAATCGTTTTCGCCCAAACTGTACCTACACAAAACTCTGAGTAAGTGAACTCGAGTATTGAACGGAACCAGAAACGGAAGTTCTTGAAGTATGGCCAACGATCTTTGTTCGATTGTCGATAGAGGCGGTAAGTGTTCGTCATCATAATCTGAAAACAAATTACATTATTTGCATCGTAAAAATATAAAAAATCTAAATAGTTAAAGCCTTTTGTATCACCTACGGATGTGTATATATTTTATCTGCAAATTTTATATTAGTTTCAGCACAAATAGACGGAATTTTGACATTCATTCAAGACAGCTTCTCTACAATAAAGTACCACTTGCCACATTTTTAATTATTTTTTTTTGAACAAGGTTCAGGCTTCCTAAGGGAGGTTTCCCAACCTTTTTGCAAAACCCATAATGAGATTTTAAGAGCTTGCATTAAAATGTTGGAGGCATCACAGTATAAATTCAAATCAATCTAACCAACAAGAAATAATAGCTTTGTTCCAACAACGGTACAATGTATTATCACGATTCTGCGCAAAACCTAAAATTTGTGTGCAGAAACCAAAATTTGTGTACTGAGAAATTTCGAAACCGTTCATGGGACGATTTTTTGACACGTTGGAACAGACTTAATATCAAAAAATTCTTGTCTATTTGGAAAAGTTAACTTAGCTACAACATAAAACTCACCTTCTGTCTTAGGTATTACAGATCCAAATGGATAGCTTTTCTTGGACAAATAATTTTTCTTGGCCAAATCCAGTGAAACGTGGATTTTTTTAGCGGTCCAAAAGCCGGGCGGACAAAATTGCCGTCTCAAATCCAAAGTGTGGAGCATTTTGACGCATTTCAAACACGACCGATAAAGATGGCTCAGTTCTGTTGTCACCAATACCGAACCGCTTCTGCACATTGGAAAAGCGATTTCGATTAAATCGATCGCAACGTTTTTTAGTAACGATGACATTGTGTGTAGATCGTTTTGTGTAAAGGTTTCGCTTGTATCAGAATTTTCTAGAATAGATAATTTATATAAATCAATTAAAGTTTTGTTTTTTCATTCTTACCCTTATCAGTTAAAGTTTCAGTATAAAAAGTAAACATATCACAGAATACAGAAAGTTTTGTATGACAATCTTTCCAAGAGACTAAGGAAGCTCCAACTGTTTGCAGATCTACAGACGTTTTTTTTGATATGACAAACCACAATTTTTTCAAAAATACACTATTTAATCCCAATTTATACAGCAGTCTACAAAAAAAAAAAAAATACTAGAAACATTGAACATATTAACTGAAAATTGCTTACAAATATGTCCTAATCGAATCTTTGTAAACAAGGAGTAAATTGTGAGCAAAATCTACAAAAGAACTCAAAACCGCTTCGTCTTCGGAATTCGTTTCCAAAAAGTTCAACCATTTACACACTTTATTTGAATTGTTCATAATGTTTAAATAATCGGAAGCTAGTTCTTCTCCTGCTGAAATTTCAATAACACCATCGTCTCCATAATCGCTATCATCGTCTGAACCTGATGATGGTTTGATAGTGTAGAGGTCTTTGCTCAGAAAGGAGAATACATGGATACTGTCCGAGTTGGGTTCTAAAACACAAAACAGGATAATAGAACAGCCATGTTTAATATCAATAGTCATAACCAGCTGTAGTCTTAGTCTTAATTGATATAGGAGAAAATGAGGGAGAAAGAGAAAGAAAAAAAAACACATTATTCTGTGCAGTAACAAATTTAGTTTAGTTTTCCTACCTATACTTATTGTATTTCAAGTATTAGGACAGTAATTTTTACTAATCAGAGTTCGTAAATAAATAATTATTTCAAAATAAAAACAGTTGTTGGCATTTCTAGCACATTCAGACTTGAACCATTTATTGACCAAATACTTACCATAATCTTGAGGTTCCAATGCAAGCATACAGTAAAACAAACTGTTGCTTTGAGGCAAATAATAGACACTATTCAAATATCTGATTAATTTATCGTAGTACGTTAAATCAGTTTTTTCTTTCAAATACGGAATCAGGTGGAACTTTACGTTGTAGGTGATGGTACTTCTCAAAAAACTATTACAAAACTCCGCTAATACGGTGCTTTGTGAAGGACCAAACTCGTTTAAGAATTTAAACGGTTTGTGAATCAGGAGCATGATTTGAGGTAGGGTTTCTTCTTTGCTTGAATCTAGCAGTTTGCGTAAACAGTCATAATAACCTTCAAGAAAATAACATATTCATTGAAATTTATTGATCAAAATCAACAAATCTTACCTTTCCTGATCAAACAGAAAATAATGCCAGCATTATCAGTAAACGAAGTAACCACTTGAAGCATAAGATTTGCTTTATCATTATTTGAGATGTTTTCCATGCATAAAAGAAGGAACCTTTTAACTGCCCAGCACAGCTGAGTATCAGTAATTATTCCTCTTTGAATTTCAGCGTTGTGTTTTAGAAGATTTTGAGCCAAGTCACACTAAAATATAATTTATATAGTTTATTTGTGTTGATTAATAGTATATATTTTTGTTAAATAAAATACTGTATGTTTTTATGTGGCAAATTAAACCTCAAGGGTTTTGTATTTAACTTTAAACTTTTAGGTCATATTCCAATTTAAAAAAAATATAGTTATGGTATACTTTTTTGGGACATCCTGTATACTTCAAAATGATTTTGGGTTATAGCAGATGAAAATGGTAAAACTTTTATATAGAACATGTGCAACGGTTTGGCTACTATTGACCAATGCGCGCTTGTTGGACCACCCTGTGTATATTATGAAAACAAATATTTTGGGTAGAAATGTACATACCATTTTGGGGCAATCCAATGCTGGATCGTAAAAGAATAAAAGCAACTTCAATTTTTGATCTATAGTTAAAAGGTGCTCTGATTGGATGTATTTTTGTCTTTGGGCTTCTTTAACGTGCTTCCTTACCAAGTAACTGCGTATGTGAGATTGTAACAGCTTGGCGCTTTGCAGTTTTATTCTTTGTTCCTGATAAGTAATTTAATGTATATAAACATAATAATAATATAATAAAAATTGTCTTACATATCTTTTACGTCGTTCCTCTTGGGTCTTCTGTAATAATACATCTCTGGTGACTTTTTTGCTTGCTCCGGACAAGTTTTGTTCGGGCTTCGATTTCGTGTTGCCCTCAAAGCTGTAGTTCATTTTAAAGGCTACAAAAAGCGTTGTTACAGTAAAAAGAAATCTGATAACTCTAGCTGAGTAGTGGGTCCTATAAGTACTTACCCATATTTTGCAGGTATTATTGGCAAGATGTTTTTGTAGATCTCGTTCAGGTGGTGATAGATTTGTTAATAAATTAAAAATGTTTGTGAATTTTAAATCGAAAATAACTTTTATTTATAATCAAAAATCAACAGAATCAACTACACAGTACACTCATCACATTCATCACTTTTCTTGTATTTTTTTTTTATTTCTATTATTTTTTTTGGAATGTCATGCTTAGCTTGTCCCTTTGAAACATGTCCACAGCTGACATCGTACAATCGAATATCGATAGTTCTCCGTTTTCCACCACTCCGTCTGTGTACTCCGTCCGTAGGCACTCGAACCGTTCCGTTATCGGTTTTTAGCGTTAACAGAGTAACTACATACGCTCGACTATTTAAAGTTGAGTAAACTGATAAATGGAGCTTACTCTCAAAGTTCCACATCGAGCTGAGAAAGCCAATGACATCAAAACACAATCTGTGTTTTGATATCATTGGAGAAAGCAGATTTTACAGTAGTGGGATTCCGGACTTTTCAAAAAATAGCTATTCATGCAACAAGTGTGTAAAGTGGACCTTTTTCTAATAAAATATGTGTAGAAAATAAATTTGGACAGATAGTAGATACTTTAGATACTTCACGCACTTATGCGTAAAGTATTTTCACTTTACGCACTTAGTGAATGAAGTGAAATTTTACCTCTTTTGAATAGTGCGTAAAGTGAGTACTTAGTACTTTACGCACGGTGGTTGAAAAATAGTTATTTATGCAACAAGTGTGTGAAGTGAACTTGTGCGACAATCACATGAGTGAAAAAAGGTGCTTTGGCTTTGCACACGTATTGCTTACAAATTTTTTTTTAACACCAATAAAATCTGTGTAGAAAAATATATTTCGACAAATACTTTACGCACTAGTGCGTGACGTGATTTACTAGAAAAATACTAAATTGACAGTTGTCGATGTTGTATGATACATAAACGACCTTTCAATTATTATTACCTTTTCATATTACCTGATGTGGTCACAAGTTTTAAGATGACAATTAATATAAAGTTGTCAATCTTTACACTTGAAAATAGTTTTGGATGATTGCTAGAGTCGCTCAGCTTAATTTTAACGATTTTTGAAGCAGCGGCGGATTTAGGATTCCTTCTAGGGGGGGGCGATCCATCAGGGCCTCAGGCTCAGATAAGAAATAATAAAAAAAACGACTTAAATATACAGAGTGACAAAAAAGTCGCGTATAATACCTGTAACTTTCTAATTACCTCGTATACGAAAAAGTGACCTTAATGAAAGTTGCTCAGTAAATTAGGGACATAAAGCTTCCGTATTTTTTGCTCGGTATCCGTATCGGTATCGTACTGCGCATGTGCAGAAGCGATACGGAGGCCGAGATACCGTACGTACAACGTAACGTTACGGCCCTCTCGCGGTATCCGTATCGGTAACGTATCTTGACATTCCTGACGCATGTGTCAAATTTCAAATGAATATAACCTCCCTTTTCTTCCGGGTTGATTTAATTTGTTTAGTTTTTACTTTCTTGAGCTTCTTGTGTTTAGTGCTTCTCTATCGCAAAAAAAATAACAATTTTAAGGTTAGATATAAAAACGTCGAAGTTTTGAGACAAAAATGTCTAGGTTATGAAATGCGTTTACGTTTACCGGAACAGGGAGCGCTTTAACAGCCTTTTCGCTTGTCAACGTATCTAGTTGCGTTACGGATACCGATACCGATGAATTATTTCAAGTAGCTTTATGTCCCTAATATTTCCCACAATTCTACTTAAACGTATTGCCTGTGTCACTTCTGGTTTGTTTGTTATCTAGACCAACTTTCTTTTTTTCAAATAAAACACCCTGTATGTGATTGCATATTTGGATTCTACGTAAAATTCTGAGCAGATTTCATGTGATATACCCTATACCTAAGTTCAACTGTTTTGGAAATATTGACAGTTGAACATTGACTTTTTGCAACTTTGACAGGCTGTAAAACCTGAACGGTTAATTTCAGAGGAAAACCGATTTCACATTCCTATCTTAGATTTTCATAAACTATCATTTGACATCAACATTTAATTTAATCGGAGATTAAATTTAATTGGAATTTTCAATTATAGATTAAATTCAAAGTTGGTGCGGATTTACGTCATCCGCAGTCGATTCGCTCCCAGCTCGCTGCTGCCAAACGTATTTAAAAGTATTAAAAATTTGGAAAAATAGCAAAAACCATATGGAATTTCATGTTGGATAATGCTTGATGAATATGTTTGTGTTTTCGTTAAAAATTTCGTTGTTGCGTCGCTCAATAGGGGGGGGCGCGCGCCCCCCGCGCCCCCCCTCTAAATCCGCCACTGTTTTGAAGTAGCACAATCAGTTTGTAGCGGTTGGTTACATTCACAAATTTATCTTTGGTTGCAATCGATAATTTACAAAAATCACTGGGTTTTCAAGTAAGGAGGTTTCTAATTTTTTGGGAAACTCAGATCCCAAAGTTATCCAACAAAAACACTACTTGCTGATTGAATGATTGCCATTTTTAGATATTTTCACAGTGGCATAACGAACTGTATAGCGGCTACAATCGGAAATTCGCAAAAATCGCTACTTCTGCAGGATTCTTAATTTGTTGGCACAGCGAGCTACAGAGTATGTGCTGCCAAACCTAATATTATTGATGAAAATTAACGAAACTTTCATATTTTGGCTTAGTTTTTAAAGGGCTTTTTGCTGCCATTATAGTTATTTATGCAAAAAGTGTGTAAAGTGAATTTTTTCTCATGAATTTTGACAATCACCTGAGTGAAAAAGGTGCGTATTGCAAGCAGATTTTTTTTCACTACCAATAAAATATGTGTAAAAAAAATAAATTTAGACAAATACTTAACGCATTAGTGCGTAAAGTATTTTCGCTTTACGCACTAGTGTCTGAAAAATACAGTGTCGATATATTATCGTTTTACACATATTTGATTGGTAGTAGAAATTTTTTTATATGCAATACGTGTGTAAAGCAACTTTTTTCACTCATGTGATTGTCGCACTCGCCTTCGGCTCGTGCGTCGAAATTAACATTCGTGAAAAAAGATTCACTTTACACACTTGTTGCATAAATAACTATTCATTGGTGGGCGGACTTCTATTTGTTTGCCCTATTCTATTTTCATGAAACGTGTTTCACGTGCATAAATAAAATGTAAAAAAAATGTAACAAACTGATCCAATAACGAATAGCAAACATTTCGAAATTTAAAACAAAATAATGGGTAGTTATTTATCCCATTTTGACGTTTAAAAATGACATTATTGAACGCATAACAATAAAGGTATGTAGACGTTTATCACCTCAGTGATTTAAAAACATTTTAACTCACTCTCGGCATTTTAAGTCACTCTGCCCAACTTAAAATCTGAAACCTCAGTGATTTAAAATATTTTTAACTCACTCCCGGCATTTTTCCTTCTACTTTATTTTTAAAATTTTCACAAAATGGGATAAAATTTTGTATACATCACGTGAGTTAAAATGTTTATTCATTCGAAGAAAATTAACCCACTCGCTAGTGCTCGTGGGTTAAACTTTCTTCTCATGAATAAAAATTCATTTAACTCACTTTGTGTATAAATAACTATTATACACCAAGTGAGTTAGTTTATTATGAATGAACATTTTAACGCACGTGATATGTATACAAAATTTTAGAAGCATTTTGCTTGTGATAGTAACCACATAATGTAACATGTAACTCATATCACACACCTGTGGAATGTGAATCTCATATTCCACACCAGGCGATAATATATAGCCTACATCATACGCTCGTTAAATAATATACTATTGAATCACTGAGGTGTCAGATTTTTAGTTAGGCAGAGTGACTTAAAATGCCGAGAGTGAGTTAAATTTTTTTTAAATCACTGAGGTGATAAACGTCTACTTACCTTATTTACTGGTATGCGTTCAATAATGTCATTTTTAAGCGTCAAAATAGAATAATAGTTAATTATACACCAAGTGAGTTAAATGAATGTTTATATGAGAAGAAAGTTTAACCCACGAGCCCCAGCGAGTGGGTTAATTTTCTTCGAATGAATAAACATTTTAACTCACGTGATGTAGTTATACAAAATTTTATCTCATTTTGTGTAAATTTAGAAAATAAAGTACAAAGAAAAATGCCGAGAGTGAGTTAAAAATATTTTATAGTTATTTATACACCAAGTGAGTTAAATGAATGTTTATTCATGAGAAGAAAGTTTAACCCACGAGCCCTAGCGAGTGGGTTAATTTTCTTCGAATGAATAAACATTTCAACTCACGTGATGTAAGTATACAAAATTTTATCCCATTTTGTGGAAATTTGAAAAATAAAGTACAAGGAAAAATGCCGAGAGTGAGCTAAAAATATATAATATTCGCTCTTCGGACTAAAAATATATTATAAATCACTGAGGTTTCAGATTTTTACTTGGGCAGAGTGACTTAAAATGCCGAGAGTGAGTTAAAATGTTTTTAAATCACTCAGGTGATAAACGTCTACTTACCTTTATTGTTATGCGTCAATAATGTCATTTTCAAACGTCAAAATGGGATAAAATAAAATAAAACATTTCGAAATATAAAACAAAAACATAAAAATAAATCTAGCAGGCAATACTCATACATCCCTCTTAACACCGATTGACACAAGTTAAAACAATTGAAACACAAAACAATATTTAAATTTCATAAAATTCGCCAATACTATAGTATGCCTTGACGACTAGATGATTGATGGTTCTAAATGACGTAATCGAACTTACTTATGTATGAACCGTAAAGCGTTAATAGAATTCGGCATGAATTTTCTACTTCATGATGGCAGCGACTGCAACTGGTGACTGGCGTAGGCGTAGCGACTGGCGAGTGGCGATTGGCGAGAGCTGAGAGCTCTCTCCTCTCTCTCTGTCGCGTGTGTTATATATATTTGAGACATTGGAGTTATTGGACTTCCGTGAGGATGTGCGCGCGCGGCAGGAAGTCAAGGCGCGCATAGCTGGATGATGGCTGAATGTCAGTACGCGGGTAATATGAAATGCTAGATCGCGCGCATGAATAGACAGTAGACACTTTAAGCAGGTCCTGAATTTCAAACGTATCCGTATTCCGTATATGGAGATTTGACCTCGGAATTGACCTATCTTTTTTTACCTAGACTGCGCGCGCAACTCGTGGGTTGCAGGTTAAGCGTCCAATGAGAAGCGAGTTTGTTACGAGCTTGCGGCTTGCGTCATATTCGTGTTCAAGGGCAAGTT